GAAGCAATTATTATCTTTTGCTTTTGAATTGCTCCCAAGTGTTTCCTCTTCCCTCGGTTCTTCAGATTATGTTAAATGTATCTTCAAGTTCTCAGCCAAATTAAGATTTTGCTATATAGTCATATGGTATGGAAGACCGATGGCTTGTGTATTAAACTGCTCCCAGACCTATGTCATCGGTGTGTGCATATTAAAACTGCTTTTTGGGGGGCCTACAAACCTGGAATTATTTTCTGCAGTGATGCCATTTCACAAGGGAGTGTGGAGAATGCCCTTCCCACAAGTCCTAAGCACCTCACGGTCTCTTTGAGAGTAAATGTGAGTTAAAACATGCCAGATGTCACGCTTTCGGTATCTGTGTTTTGGCCATTAGCTGTTCCACTAAAAATAGCTTCTTCTTTAGGGGGAAGCACAATTATTACATTTTATTTTTTTATCAGGCAAATAAAAATGTATCATTTGACCATTAACATCCCTCCATTTTTCACTTTTTTTATGTACAAAGTTACATGCAGAAACCTCAAGAGACAGCACTTGGACCCAAGCTCATCGCTTTGTAGCCTCTCCTAGCTTCATTGAAGGGGGGACCTGAACACTTTGGCCAAAACACAGTGGTGTTTGAATGAGCCTTTTCCTCCCCATTCATCTACAAGTCACACTCACTGAAATGATTTCTGATCCCTCACAAAATCAGTGGGTTATAATATTTTCTTGCATTTTCCAGGCTTTCTGCATGAAACAGTACAATGTGAGCATTAACTCTTTTCTTGGCATTTAGCTGGATACATTTTCGCACACTCGAGCCTTCATATTATTTGAAGGTCAGGTTTAAATGGAAAAGGTAAACGTATATCAGAAAGACTGTAGTAAGTCAGAGTCTCGTTCTGAACCGTTATATCTTTAAAGTACATAATGCTCAAAGTCCTGCCAAGACAGAGTCTTCTTGGACACCTCTCCTCGTGTGGCTGGTGGGAAGGAGCTGCTACACTGGGTTCTGTGACTATGAACCGATTACATGCCTTTAATAGTCAAATATGTACTCAGGATAAAAAGAAACGTGCTCCTAAGCATTCATAGAAAATGTGTGTATCATTTCATCTATCTCTATTTTAATTAGGCATATATAAATAAGCTGGCTGTTGCAAGGTGCTTTATAATCAGGTTACCTAAATGTAAGCCCCTTCCTAAATTAGCATTTACAATTATGTGAGATAGTTACAGATTCTTAATACCTACTGTTTCTTCTATTATTATTATTATTATTATTATTATTATTATTATTATTATTATTATTATTATTATTATTATTATTATTATTAAAGTAATAGGCATTATGCCCCATTGTAATTTTGCATGCATGCCTGGGAAAAAAAGTAGATGACATAAATCGCATGCATAATCTCAGGAGACAATCATTTTAAATCTTAATTGGCTGCCTTTTAAATATCATTTAAGGTCTCGTTTTCCCTGCCTCTCTCTCTCTAGTTAAGAAGGTGTTGTGTCAAAGTCTATTACCTTGCTGGACGTCTCGCCTCTAAGTTTTTTTAAAAAAATAGAACCATCAGCAGAGGTTTGAGAGGTCGATAAAGCTTTTAGATTTGGAGATGTTTTCAGGGAGCCCATTTCCTGCGGCTAAGAGTTGTTAATGGAGCTTAAGGAATTATCTTATGACTCGGGCTGGGAGAGCCGTATATTTCTTCGCTCCTGTTCCCTTGTCGAGGCTGAATATGCTGCTGTCAAACTCGCTTAATGAAAAGTAACGCGTCGCTGATTACAGTTTTATTTGGGCTCTATGTAAAAAGCACTGTTAATTTAGCATCCCCTCCTTTGTGTGTTTGAATTTGCCATGGCTGAATGATTTAGAGTCTCTCAGTTTCAAGCCGTTTCTCTATGATTTTTTTCCCCTCCTCTCTTTCTTTTCTCAGTCTGCCTTTAGATTTCTGCTTTGTACAGCCATACGAGCTGCATGGCTTTTCCTTCCAGCCCTCTAGCCTCCTCTAAAGGAGCTGAACCCGATCTTTGACTTGTGCTATTGAATCAAATGGCAAAATTAATTTCTCACACTCTTTTGTTCATACTTAAAAAAAAAAAAAAAAGTAAAAAAAAAAAAAAATCAAGACGAACACCAACCCCCCCCCCCCCCAAACCCTACCCTTTTGAAAGACCACTGCATTTGACGGCTGATCTAGAGATAAGGTTCGCGTACCAACGCAAGCAATTATTTTCCCTCCCCTATAATTTGTACAGTCTGGTCCCAGGACCGGTGGCGTTGTGATGTGAGGACGCACAAACCCACCAGCTCTAACAGCCGGCCAGTCCCGCGGTCCGGGGGGGACCTGGGCTTGTTATATAACAGATGCAAACTTAGTCAAACTCAGTTTATAACGACAGTGACAGGGCGATGAAGAGATAGAGGTTTGATCCGCTTTCCTTTTGGCTCCTGCTATTCCAGTGCTCCTGCGTTTTGCCCGCAGTGTTATCACCTTAATTTTAAACCGGGGGGGAGGGGGAGGAGGGGAAAGGGAGGAGTTGCTTCCCAAGTGACCAAATTGCACCCGTGGCCGAGCCACGGCCGGCCCGCGATGATTTAGACCGGGGGGGTAGGGGGGGTGCTGGGGGGGGGCGGTGTGACCCCGGGCAACGTGCAGTCCCGGCGCTCCGCCGGCCCCCGGGCACTTTTAAGGCCGAGTGAGATTTTTGGCTGCTCAGCGGAGGAGCCCTCTCCTTCCACCCCCCGCCATATACACACAAGCCCACGGTCTCACACACGCAGACGCACACCCGCCCTCGGTTGTCGCTGCGTGGGCCCCTCCTGCCCTTCCGAGTCCCTGCCCACGGACGCAGACCCTGCGCACACCGCGGGCCTGGCACACACCCCACACTCCACACACACACACACACACACACCCGGCTTCAGAGCCCCCTCTCGCCTCCGCCCGTGGGTCGAGGGCAGCTTAAACACTCGCCTTTCCTCCCTTCCCTCTTCCTCGCCTCCTTCATCCCCACCTCCCGAGTTCGGCTGAAAATAATTTGCTTTGTCTAAAGGGTTTCAGAGGCAAAGCTCGCCGGCCGCCCCGGCTGCATTAAAATTCCTGCCGGCCCAGCCTTTAGCTGCGATCGCGGCTCCCCGGAGACTCCACTTTCGCTATTACTGTCAAGTACCCTTGACTCTTTATTTTTGCCCTTTTATCTATTACAACTAATTCGAGTTCTTTTGCCCTTTTCAGTTTAAGACGTGGGCTTTCTGTAAAGCCTCCCCCTGCCACCGAGCTCTCCGGGTGCAGAGCCTTTAGAAATTGAGGGGTTTACTGTCAAAATGAAAATTTCACTTCAAATTATCTTGGCTGATGCACGTTTTCCAGGCCGGGGGCTCCTGTCTGAGCCTTTTGACAGCCAGATCAGCAGAGGGGTTCAGTGATCTCGATAATATCATCCAAGAGAGCGAAAGTCAATACAATGACAGGGAATATGACTGGATACAATCCAATTATGGCTGCTCGCAGAGAGGGGAAGGGCTTGATCTGATCTCCGCACCCAGATTCCTTTATTCAGTCCTTGCACTAACAGGTCTCGCTAGAAACTTTGCGGGCTGGAGTATGCTATGTTTTGGCTGGGTGCTGTCTCGGTTGCCTTTATCATTGCCTTTATATTCCGCATTGTATTCTTATTTATTTTTGGGGGGTGGGGCGGTGGGGGACTGGCGAGGAGCCGCAGGGGTGGGATGGGCCAGGAGGCTGGGAGGCAAGGAAGGCTCTTCTGCTTCTCCGGTGTCAGCTCGGTCCTCCGGGCGCTTTTGGTTTTCCCCCGCAGCGCCGGGCGCGGCAGCTCCGGGGGTTTAGGCCGGCCTGGGTAAACCCGGGTCTGTTATTGCCTCGCAGCTTCTTTCCAAGCAGTTCTCCCTCTTTCCCGATCCGGGGATCGGTAAAGTTTGTTCCCGTTCCGGAGAAGGAGAGGAAATGTTTTAAACGCCTGTTATTTAAGTGGTAAATTGGCTGCGAGTGCTCCTGAATCACACGTCGAGAGCGCTGTTTCTCCCGCTCTCTTTCTGTTGGCTTCACTCTGTTTAATGTCAAAACGGTAAAGCATCTGTCCTGAAGTGCTGAAATATTCATGGAGGATCAGCGATTCTCCATACTGACAGAGGAGCTGGAAAGCTAAAACGGTTCTTTAAAAGATCCAATTTTCCATGTGAATCAATTGCTCCGCGCACGGCGGAGGCGACGCCGCGGCCGAGCCCAGCCCTTTGGGGCCGACCCCTGCCCGCGGCTCGGGGGGGGGTGGGGGGTGATGGGGGGGTAAGGGGAGGGGGGATGCTCCCGCCCCGCCTCAGCGGACAGCCGCCCCCCCCCCCCGCCGCCGCGCAGCCCTGAGCCGCGGGGGCGCGGTAAAGCGCGGAGAGCGGCCAAGCCTCCCTCCCACCCGCGGAGCCATCCACTCGCGGAGCCTCTTTTCCCTTCTCCCGGCAGCCTGTTGACAGTCCTTAGAATTACCGGGACGGGCGCCGAGGGAGAATATTGAAACCTAGAAGGTGTTTGCTGGGCAATGCAAAACGCCACCACTTGTGTTGCCTCTGAAACAGACAATTTATTGGGGTGAACATACCTTTTAACATATTTTATTTTTTCGTCAAGATAAATTTGTGCAGTAGGTGTAAACTTAGTAGAAGTGCTGTTTGTGAATTATATGCTAACAAGGAAATCAGGAGGAAAAACTCTCGAAAAGTCTTTATAACTAATGTCGGCATGCCTTAAATTAAATCTGAATTAAAATTTCCCGTTTGTAAACTTTCGGATGTAAACTTTTTAAGTAGGTCTACGCTATAGTACGTGCTTTTTGGACATGGGAATTAAATAACTTTCACGACATTGATCCCTTAAAGTCGCAGCCAGAAGTTCTTCAGAACAGCAGTGAGCAAAGTCTGTCCGTTGAACTGAGCAAACTGAAGCTTAAATCCTCGTTTCTGTTGGTTTGTGTTTGTTTTTATTTTTTTTTTAAAAAAAAAAAAAAAAAAAAAAGGAAAAGTTTGATATTTAAACTCTCGCAAGTCTCTTTTCAGTGTAGCTGACTCTTCAAGCGTTAGAAAGTCCTTCGCCCCTCGGCGGGCCTGTTAGGAACAAAACATTTTGCTTCCTGATTTGGGAAACGCCAGAAACTCTTTGTTTGAGTCATGGTGGGCCAAGTTTGAGAGCTGCCCCTTGAGCACGTTGGCGCCGTTCCCCACCGCGCGTCCCAAGGCGCCCGTTTCCAGAATGGCTCCTTTGGTGGTAGCCCAGGAAACTGTCGTGTTGCCCAGGGCTTGGTTCAAAGTACTGTGCCTGAACAGGGGGTCGTGAAAGACCCCGTCCACCCAGTTCCTGAGGTTGGTGACCGGCGAATCCTGGTGCCGGTCGATGACACTGACCGGGGCGGGGGGGGCGGCGGCGGCCGGGCCCCCCTGCCGTTTCAGCATGCAGGAGGGGTACTCGGCCTGGTTGAGGGAGGTGGCGGTGTGCGCCAGGGACCAGATCCTCGGCTTCGCCTCCAGCAGCTGCTGCCCCTGCTGGAAGCACACCTTGGACTCGCAGCCGCGCTGCCGGCCGCCCAGCAGCTCGGGGCCGCACTCCTCCGCCGCCGGCTTCAGGCAGCTCCGCGCCCGCTCCGCCGCCGCCCCCCCTTCCTCCTCCTCCTCCTCCTCCTCCTCCTCCTCCTCGGCGGCGGCGGCCGGCGGCATCTTGGCGGGGGGCTCGGCGGCCCGCGGCGGGTGGCTGCCGCCCGGGAGCGGGAGCGGGAGCGGGTGCGGGAAGGGCCGCCTCAGCTCGCACTCCGAGCTCTCCGACTCGGCGGCGTCCAAGTCCTCCAGGTCGCTGAGCTCCAGCTCCTTCTCCTCCTTGCCCGTGGGTTCTGCGGGGGTTGGGGGCGGGGGAAGGGACAGCAAAAACAAGACACACGGTCACTGGCGGCGCCGCGCTGCTCCGCGGCCGCCCCCACGAGCGGGGCCCGCGGCCGCCCCCACGAGCGGGGCCCGCCCCGGGGGCGAGCTGGCGGCCGAGCCCCCGCAGCCGAATCGCTAAGTGCCTGTTTTTAGCAGGGTACCCTCGGCTTTCCCGCTCTTCATCGCCTCTTCCTGCGAACCCTCCTCCTCCTCCTCCTCCTCTTCCTCGTAGGGCCGCTTCTCATCCGAGCACTTGTTCCGCGGGGGCCAGGTCATCTTGTTCTCCTTCTTGAGCCGCCGGCGGGCGTTGGCGAACCAGGTGGAGACCTGGGTGAGGGTCATCTTGGTGATGATGGCCAGCATGATCTTCTCGCCCTTGGTGGGGTAGGGGTTCTTGCGGTGCTCCTGCAGCCAGGCCTTCAGCGTGCTGGTCGTCTCCCGGGTGGCGTTTTTCCTCCGCGTCCCGCCGTCCATGGTGCCGTACCTGCGGGCACAGGGGAGCACCCACGGTGGGACACGGCGGCCTCGCCCCCCGTGGATCTGCCCGAACGTGGGAATACGGCCGCGCCACGGTACCAGCGGCTTGCCTGCGGCACTCCCCCCCCCCCCCCCCCGCCCCGTGTGTGTGTGTGTGTGTGTGTCCCGCGGGGTGGCTGGACCAGAGACGGGGGAGATGGGCGTGGACAGCTCAGCTTTAAGAAGGCGACCTGCCTCGAGAAGTCAGGCCGAGGAAGAAAGCAAGGAGGAAGGGTTCAGCCGCCAGCAGCACCGGGCGATGCAAACCCCAGCCGTGCCGTGCCGCTGGCCGCGGCATGAGGGAAGAAAGCGCCGGCCTTTTATTCGCGGTAAAGTCAGCGTCAACATTTCGGGCAGCAGGGACATCCTAGCAGCTTGCAAACGCACAGAAATCCCACTTTCCTGTTGTTTGATCAGTCCTCCCCAAACAGAATACATCTGGGTGACCCCAGGGTGTAACTGTTAATAGAAATACCTTCCCTCTTACTCCTTTCATTAGTAATCTCTCCTACCCTTTTGTTCCTGAAATTGTAGAAAACTAACGCAGATGACACTGGCCTGCGACTGAATATTTAATGCACATCCTCCGGGAAAGGTCATCGGCGCCCAGCGGGCCTCGGAACTCCAAACAGTGTCTAAGTCGGTTCGCGCTGGTTTAAAACTAATAAACGCAGCAGAGATGCCCAGGCGCCCGAGCCTGACTCCACGCAGGGAAAGATAATTACCGCCCCGGCGGAGAGGGACCGCCCCCCACCCCACACTCCCCACCCGTCCGTGGGGCAGAGCACCCCGCGTCTGTGTGCCGGCGGGAGAGGGGAACATTCCGGCTGGGAAGGGGAGGCGGCCGGGCCGGCCCTCGGCCCCGCAGCGGCGCGGGTGGGGCAGGGGTGTGGATCGCGAGTGGGGGCAGCGAGGGGGGCCGGGGGGGTGGTGTGTGTGTGTGTGTGTGTGTGTGTGTGTGTGTGTGTGTGCGTGCTTACCTGTCGTACTGGTACTGGCTGAGGCTGTGATCGTAGGGGTAATAGGCAGCCGCCGGGGCGATGCCCGCATGCGCAGACCCGCTCCCGTCCTTCGCCTCCAAACTGTTCTGCAAGAGACACCGCGCCGCGCCCTCAGCCCCGCCGCCCCCCGAGCTCGGGCCCCCTCCCCGGCCCCGCCGGGTCTCCGCGGGAGGGTGAGGGGGGCGAAACGGAAGCGCGACGGACCTTCCCGGAGGCCCCTCGGCCGCGGCGGCCAGCGAGATCAATAGAGACATTAACTCGCGCTGTTACGGTGCCAGGGGAAAAAAAAAAAAAAAAAAAAAAAAAAAAAAAAAAAAGAGAGAGAGAAAAAAAGGCTGGCTGGGAAGAGTGCATCATTTTTTTGCGAGCCGGGGTCTGGGCCGCCCTAAACTCCCCGCGCTCGGCCGCCTCCTTGCCAGGCGCGACTTTTAATTGCGTTACCGTGAGAACCGTGCCGGGCTTGAATATTTAATGACCGCGGGGCTGGACGCTTCCGCGCACAAGCGGGGGGAGCGGCCTGCGGCTTGGGGGAGAGGAGGAGGAGGAGGCGGAGGAAGCAGCAGCAGCAGCAGCAGCGGCTGGGGCTGCCGCCGCGGAGGGGTCCCGGCCACCGCCCCCCAAACCGGGGCGGGGGGGCAGCGCGGGTCCTGCAGCGGCGGAGCGGCGCAGAGGCCGGGCGGGAGCATCCCCCCCCCCCCCCCCCCCCGCGGCGGCGGGCGGCTTACCAAGGAATAGAAGGCGGGAGCCTCGGTGCCGTAGGTCACGTAGTTTCCATAACCCTGGGGACCGGCGTAGGGGCCGCCGTAGACCCCCAGGGCGGCGGCGGAGTTGAGTTCGTGCCGGGCGGTGGCGAGCAGGCGGCTCTCGTACACCGGGCAGTAGACGGGGGTCTGGGCGGAGGCGGCCGCCCCCGTCTCGGCCAGTGTCCGGCCGCTGGACTCGCAGCAGGTCGTCAGGGAGTTGGTGCTCATCAGGAACTGGAGGGAAAGAGAGCGGCGCTGAGGGCCGAGGGGGGGGGGGGGGGGGGGGGGGGGCGGGGGAACTTCCCAAACTGTAACCAAGTTTGGGGTGTTTTCTTTCTTATGAGGTCGCAGCTTTGGGGTGTCGCCCCTCCTCCCTCCCCTTCCGTCTTTTCCTTCAGTCGGAGTAAAAACGCTCTGGAGAAACGCAGAGGTGCAAGTATCTTATCAGTTTTAAATAAAGCCCACAATAACAACAAACGCACGCCCCGTGACTGTGGGCGTTTAATCTTCTGTAATACGCTGCTCCAGCCCTTCGCAATTAAAAACTAACTTTCCCTGTGCGTTCTGTAAGACTGGGTTTACACCGGGTTTCTCCGCTCGCAGCACAATGCTTCCCATCTGCGTTTTTAAACCTTTTTTTCTAAATCACTCATGCATATTTATTTTGACTGCAGATTTGTAGCAGCCACGCACGCATCTGTTATTAACCTGCTGGTTTAGAATATCCCATTGCGTTTCTACGGTCCGGACCTCAGTACTTTCGTGTTTAATTGCAAAACTGTGAATTTAATCGGGAAAGGGGGGGAAAAAAAAAAAAGTGCTGGGGGGGAGGGGGGGGAGAGAGCCGGTGGGGGTTGGGGGATCTCTAGCTCCCCTTCTCACCTCCCTCATCTCTGTAATCCTCCCCCACGCGTCATTATCACCCCCAAACACCCTAAATCCCGCGTGTTCATTCCCATTTTAAAATCCGTGCGCGAGAGATAACTTGAGCATCTCGGAGAGATGCGGAGCCAGCAGCCGCTCCCGCACGCTAGAAAGGATCGCTGCCGCTCTCAGCCCTGGACAGAAGTAATCAATAAGGACTGAAATGCAATCAGTTAACGTTGGTAGGCAAAAAGTCTTACCTGGGGTGCAGAGGAGTAAGGGTAGCCAAACTGAGGATATGACATGGTACAGAGGCTCCCAGTTATCTAGAAACAAGGCGAGACGTCTGATCTGCACGCTATTGCAGCCTGGCTCTGCTCTATTGTACCAATTGATTGGTAACCACAGGTCCCTAGATGCTTATAGGACGAAGCAGAAAACCACATTTAATTTCTTTACGTGAAATCTTAAACTTTTTTTTTTTTTTTAACTGAAGGAAAAAATAAATGTATAGTGATTTTAGCACCTTTCCCTTTACAGCTACAAAACAGAAATAATGGTTACGTGTGGGCTCTAAGGCTGGCAAACGTGACGGCAGGAATACATACTTTGCACCCACGGAAAAATAAAGGGGCGGGGGGGGGGAGTGGAGGCGGGGAGAAAAGTGATACAAATACATCAGTTCAGAAGCACGTTGTTTTAAAAGAGCCGAGCCTCTGACGTCACGCCAAACCTATTCCAATTAACCTGCCTGTAAATTTAACATTAATTTTCGGGAGCCTTTTCCCTGGCGTGGAAAACAGGCTCTCCAGCATCCCTCTCAGCTTGCCCAAGAGGAGCGAAAGTTTGGAAAGCTCCGCGGCAGCGGCTCCGCCTGCTTGCAACATTTCTGGGTATTTCTGCGGGGAAGGGAAGGAAATGAATGGTTTTAATCTGAAGGATCAATGTTGTATCAGCTAAGAATTCCCCCCACCCTCCTTCGTCACTGAAGGGCTGGTAAGCACTTTTAATTAGAAATTAATTAATGAGCAGCTGCTTCTTCCCACCCCACAGTAATAATTAGTCTCAATTACAAACAAGACATATGAAGGGACACACGACTGAGTCTTCATTTAAGATTTAATCAACAGTTAAAATTAGCGCTAACGCTGACAATAAAGCACATGACATGCAATCCTGCTTTTCTTTTCGGCTTTTATTCCAGACGTGTGATTACAGGTAGAAAACCCTACAAGCGTATTCCGGGGAATGATTGAAAGGACGTGACTTTTCACGTTAAAACGACTTTGATCCCATCGCAAACCTCCGCGGGAAAAGCCAGCCTTTCTCGGGGCGGAGGGCCGTATCCAGCCTGCCCGTGCTCCGAGGGGCGCCCAGATGGGGGGGGGGGGGGGGGGGGGGAGGAATTAGGGAACGGGGGTGCAACTCAGATGTGCCAAGTGCTGTTTCTCTCCTAAGAGCAAACATCTATTTCCCGGGGCTACACGGCGGGGACCCCCGAATGAAGGAGGGCCTGGGAAGGAGTCTCGTCGCCATCCCCCCTCCTCCTCCTCCCCAGCCCACCTCAGGGCTGCCATCAGCCTCCCTATCACCTTCGGGGGGCCGGACCCCCCCTCTCCCCAGGCAGGCAGGCAGCAGATCCCCTCACCCCGCTTCCCCCCCTCGGAGGGGGCAGGCTCCGCGCTGCCGCCCGGAGACAGCGGCCGTCGGGGGGGTCGGGGCGGGGGGGTGTGTGTGGAGATGCCGGGGCTGCCGGCCGGCGGAGGTGGCCCTTTGGTGGCCCTTTGGCCACCTCCGCCGGCCGGCAGCCCCGGCATCTCCCCCCGACGGCCAGCTACCGCCGGGGCAGGGTGGGTGGAGGAAGCTGAGGAGTCAGCTCCGAGGCTGAAGCTCGGCTGCTGGTGCAGTTGAACGTTGCTCCGTGGTGTGCAGACTTGCTCAGAGAGATCCCTGGGTTCAGACATGTGAATAGCCCCAGGGTCACACTCTAATTAATGATGATGTTCTCTTCTTCTCCCCAGCTGGAAAACTGCCTCCCAGAAACGAATCTGCCCACACTGACAGCTCGATTGAGGGTGATTGATGACTATCTGGAGACCACAGTACACATAATATAATATCTGCTGCGTAATTGCTTTAATTTACAGATGAAAATACTAGTTCTCGGATTGAGTTAGACTACAACGAGAGGCGTTTTATGGCGCTTTAGAGTGTTTGCAAATAAAAGATATCAGATACAGTACATGCAAATTATCCTGACAGCTCAGTATCTGTAGCCGGGAGAAACGTATAAAGAAAGGGAATCAAATGACATTAATAATCGGGTTTGAATTCTGTATTGATTTTTGGAGGGGAAGAAAGTGCTTTTTCTTTCCTCACCTGAAATGCTAGTACCTTCTTCTTTCTGGGAATATTAATAACTTAGCCATTGGGTCTCTTACAGAAACGCTCCTTTATTCCTCCTGCTACTCCGGTGCTGCCGGGATATAACGATACTTTTAGCTACTATTTACGAGCAGCTTCCTTCTATGCGACGTGCTGACGGGCTATTGCATTGTTTGGGAAGAAAAGCCACTCGGTGTTTACACAATGGTCTGCACGCAGCGTTGGGTGCTGCTCGCTCTGCCTCCTGCGCTGATTGCGCGGGGGGATGTTTATTTAAGCCCTGGAGTATAACTCACCGGTGCTAGGGAAGAAAACAGTTGCACTTATCTCAAGAGTGGCTCGGTGTAAAGCACTATAATTAGCTGGGAGAGCTAGAGAACTGCCTGGAGAAGTCCTCAGTTTTCCAGCCTACAGCTCGGGAGATGTCCTGGTGGTGTGGGGCTGGGTGGGGTTTTTTTGTTGTTGTTGGTTCTTCCCCCCCCCCCCCCCCCCCCCTCCCCTTTTGATAATACTGCAGATGTCAACTCCGCAGTGGCCCACGGAACACTACAGGTTTTGATATTTAGATGAGTCTATTAAACTTTAAAATACAAGGTGAAATTCAATATTTATAGTCCTTGTCTATTTATATATCACAGTTGTCTTTCACTGCACCATGAAAATACTCTGGTGCCCATTTTTGCACTGAACTTTCCTGTATTAATCATGATAATTATTTTTCTTCTTTTTTTTTTTTTTTTTTTTTGGCCTGCCTGCTCTACTACTTTACCCCCAGTCAGCTTTGTGCCAGTTCCAATCTGTATTCTCTAGAAAGTGGTCATTAAAAAAAAAAAAAACCAAACACAAAACAAAACAAAACCAAACCGAACAAAACCCAAAAGCCACCAAACCCGAAAAATAACACAAACCTTAACCTTAAATGCTCAAAGCTGACATAACATCTTCCTCCAGCCTTCTCATCTTGTTTCACTTACAACCTACAAATAATGGCCCTTTGTGGATAAGAAACTCATCACAATCATAGTTCGTCCTGAATTGTTGGTGCCCGCACACAAACATGCAATAAGCCCCAGAAAGATTTAAAATAACCTTTGTGATTCTCACACATAAACAACTTAACCCTGTTCAGATCCAAGTAAAGACACATAATGCTGTGGGCTATATCCTTAAGCGTTTGGAAAACGTGAGCCTTTGCTGTGCAATAAAAATTGATCCTTGTCAAAGCCCCTTTCCTGCACAAAGCAGTCAGCAGCTTTCGGGAAAGAGACACTGCCCTCTCCAAAGTTGGAGCAAGTAAACCTATCTCGATCAATAGCTGGAGAGTTCCCCTCTCATGAGGGCCAGCCTGCATCCCCAGATGAGCAGGGGGGTTACAGCCAGAGCCCCACCAGCTCTATCTCCGAGGGTTGTGTGTTTCTTCTCTGAGAACCTGGAGTCAAACGTTCATACAAGTTCTATCACAAGAGCATGAAACGAGAAGGAAACGCTGTGATGCTGGAACAGGCCACAGCAGGTAAAGCAGAGAACCTCTTCGGGACTAACGCTTTGATGGACGTCTTCAGGGACATGATCTAGAGGCAGTTAATGCAGCTACACTTTTACTATCTGCACTTTCATCGCCTCCTCTTTTGGAGGGGTTATTGCCACTCCTGGAAATATTTCAGCGACGGAATTTGCTTATGGGCTGAAAACAGACTTTAGCGAGCTCTTTCAGTCGACTTCACTTTGTTTTCACGTTACAGATTTAAAGCAACCTTGACACCGCCTGACAAACGCTGTGAAGCTCTACATGTTGCCCATTTGGGATCTGACATGGAACCGAGGGCAGCCTACAACATTTTCAAGTAGATTAGCTCCCATAAAGTCGCTATGGACAGTAAATACGGCTGTGCTCTCTGAGCCCACCTGAGGTGTAACTGCATCTCCTGCACTCCGAATCGAGGGACAGCGAGCTGACGCTGCCGACCTGCCCAGACCTACGCGGTGGCTTGTGATCGGCAGAGCTACGATGACAAACATAACACTTGCATAAGAAGGCGCCTCTAATTAATTTACTCAGATTACAACTACGCGTAAATTCAGTCGTTCAAAGCTATCCATTTGAATGCTTTCATTTTCCAAGTCTTCAATCCTCTCGGCAAACAATCTAGATTAAAGCAGAAAGGCCTCCCATGCTCATTCTGCTTTCTGTATTTATTAACTTTTCACACTTAAGAACTAGAGCCAACACACCGCGCTCTCTCTCTTCCCCCCCACCAAAAAAAAAAAAAACAAACCCAAACCAAAACAAAAACCCAAACAAAAAAACAACCCCCCCCAAAATAACCCCAAAAGACCCAAACCCACAACTTTTCAACAAGAGAAGCAAACGCTGCAACCTGGGTAGCTGCTGTATGGCTAGACGAACCCTGCAACATGCCCCCGTTTACCTGCGCGGTGCGGAGCAGCACACCTACTCTTTTCACTAGCAAAGCAAAGGTTGCAAAAGGCTTCTCCTCGCGGCTCCGGTACCCCCGGTGCCGCAGACTCGCAGGCGTTCAAACGCCACCGCCTCTGAGCTCTCTGGCAGAGGACAGCTTGAACATACTTCTCTGCGAAGATAAAACTTTCCTACTTGCAAGGACGAATTCTATGCCTTTTAAAGTTTGCCTTAAAATCCAGAAAGTTTGACTCGATACCTTACCTTAGCGCTCGCTGAATATCATATCCACACCCCCTTTCCAAGAAATAACACATATGTTAAAATACATTTGCCCTCTGTCCTAGGTAAAGCTTGCACAAAGCCAAATGATTCATCATCACAGATAGTTTCTCTTCCCTCCAGCAGTTCGTTTTCAGCTGCCTTGCTGCTAAAGCAGGCTCCGAAGGGACGGGGGGGGGGGTGGTGGTGGTGGGGGTGGCGGAAAAACCCCACCGCTCCCCTCCTCCCCCCGTTCCGTAAAGACAGACACACACACACACACACACGCACAAGCATCGCCACCAAAACAAGGAGAAAAGGTTTACCTGCGATCACGCCAGGCTTCGGCTGAACCCTCGCAGCGCCGGCTGTGCCATGGCAGGGCTTCGCTCCTCTCGGCTGCGCGGGCGGACTCCGCGGGGAGCTGCGCGCAGCAGCGCGGGCATTGCTCGGCGCGCAGTACCTGCGCGGCGCCGCCGGTCCCCAGGCGCCACAGCCGCTCCGCTAACCCCCCGCACCAGAGTGACGTTCAAGTGAATAGCTCCACTGATCACACTCTTTCCTACTGATTAACACTTTCCAACGCGACCAGGCACTCCGCTTCCAACTTTTCCCGTTTTAAAACAGAAGCAGCCGGCACCGCTCGCTTCCGCGGGTTATAAACGCCGTCTGGGGCGTGGGGGACACCATAATTAATAGCAGGTTAGTAAAATTAGTGCTGCCGCTCCAATTGTTGTCCTTGTTGCCAACAATAATTGCATTGATTCTGGAAGGACACGAGTGTCCTCCATTTAACCTAATGATCTGCGGGTTGCACACGCTGTAAGGCAGCCGGAGCGTTGATGAACGGCGCGCACCTCCAAACTCTCATTTATCTTTGCGAGTCACGACTGAAGGGCGCTAAACTTGCAGGCAACTCTCCCTGCCTCCCTCGCCGCCTTTGTTTCCCTCCCGTTTGAGGAGGCGGGCTGGGACGCCCGCGTTCGCCCTGCGCGCAGGAGATGGGCACCTGTACCTGTCCGCCCATCCGCCCTCACCCCACGCATCGCCCCGGGGCAGCGCGGCGGAGCCGGGGGCCGAGGAGCTGCCGGGGGGCCGCGGGGGCCGGCGCCCCCTCTCTACCTCCCCCCCCGGGGGCGGTTGCGGGAAGGGAGGGAGGGCAGGGAAGGGGGAGCGGCGCTGCCCGGCACCGGGGACCCGCTCCCGGCTGCGCCTCCGGGGCCGGCCCCGGCGCTGCCCGAGCACCGGGGGGGGGGGGGGGGGGGAGGCGCCGGCTGCAGCCTCAGGCAGGTCGGGGCAAGGAGCTCTTGCTTATCCTCTCCGTCCTACTGCGAGCGCCCGTCAGTCCGTCCGTCCGTCCGTCGGTCTGTCGTTTCGTCCGTCCCGCCCGGTCTCAGCCGCAGGCTGCCGCCGCTGTCTCCTGCGGTGAAGTTACTCGGGCCCGGGCGAGCTGGCAGCGAGCCCCCAGGGCTTAAATGTGCAGCCCCCTCCGCCCTCTGAGCCCCGGGCGGCCGGACCCCCTCCAGGCCCCCGCCCGCCGGCCGGCAGCCCTGCCGGGCCCCGCCGGGTGCCAAGTTTTACAGCGCCGGCGGTACTTTCTTTTCTTAATTGTTTGTTCAGCAGGAAAAGGGACAAATCGGGATTGACAGAAGGGGGAGGAGGGATCAATATCGTTCCTGTTTAAAGGCGTAAACCTGGGCAGACGTCTCAATAAGACAGAGGAGGGGAAAAAGAGAATATTATATCCTACCTAATTAAGCGAAGACAAAGAGGTGTGGGGAGAAAGGTTCAGCTGAGGTGGGGTGGCAATGGGAATTTTTAATCCGGTGTCTTCCCACCGTAACCACCAAGGCTGAACAGTAACGTTAATAGGGAACATCTGTACATCGACAGATTTATTCTTGCCAGGGCTCTTTGATCCCTATGTCATTTGCATGGACCCGCGCTCGTAATGTTCGACACGCTGCACCTTGTAGTGCAATGACAGGGTAATATCTGATGAATGTTGAAACTGGGAAATCCTCTTCTCTTTCGCCTTTTCTCCCTCCTCGGATTGCCCGTGCAGCTTCCGAGGCGGGGAAACCACACGGAGAAAGAAAACGTGAGCCTTCTCCCCATCCGCACTTGTAAACAGAAAGCCAATCATGCAGCGAGCTTTTGCATTGTAAAGCAGAGTAACAAACCCACAGCGACGTGGGTGCCTGGGCTGCCCGCCCACGGCGGGCCTGCGTGCCGAGGGGGACCAGGGCTGCGTGGCTCGGTCCACGCTTCCCAGCGCCCCCGTGGGACACTTGCGCCCTCCCCAAACCACCCGGGAGCGATGCCCCCGACCCGGACCTGCGGGCCTGGCCTTTCCCTTCCTTCCTTCGTTCCTTCCTTCCGTCCTTCCCCCGGGGAGGCCCGTCCCGACGGCGCTGCCTCCCGGCCCGGCTGCAGGAAGCTCCCGGGGGGGCAGCGCCGTCCCTGCGGGGGGACCCGCCGCCCCGGGGGGGGGACCCCTCCGCCTCTCTCCGCGGACACCGTCCGGCCGCCCTCCCGCACGCCTGAGCCCGTGTTTTACAGGGTGGGGTGACACCACCCTCCCCCCGGAGGTGACATCTCTCTTCTGGCCTTAAGGTGCTTTGGGGAGACCGAGACCCCGCAGGTCCGTCCCCCCCCCCCCCCCCGATCGGGCCCGGAGCTGCCGGTGGTGGATCCCAGGAGCCCGGTGGAAGCGAGGGGACCCCCCCAGGCCCGGGAGCTGCTGCCCCCACCTTTCCCAGCTACAGAGCAGCAGGGGGGGAACTACTGTGGTGAGATGCTGGGGGGCTGCTGGGTTCAGCCTCACCCCCCCCCCCCCTCCCCCCCCTTCCCTTTGAAATTTGCCTCGGGGCAGGAGGCATCGTTCAAAAAATATTTTTTTGTATTAACAGCTACCCCCCAGTAACAGTGCATTAATATGTATCTTTTGTAATATAACAACCCCAGTTCCACCAGATCAACATTTCTTATTATTTCAGGGATGGTTAAGGGCAGCGAGCAGACTCTTGTGTCTGTCTCTTCCTATTTGCTCGTGTCGACCTGCACCCCTTGGAGATTGCCACCCATTGCCACTGTGACCTAGGCACCAGAAAGCGTGGTGGCTTTCTGACAAAGGCTGGCCTGACCAGGCAAGAGGGCAATCAAATTGAGTGGAGCTGAAATCCCAGTAGACATGCGTGCAGGTCAATCATAGCGACGTGACAGACACAGCCACTGAGGGAACAACCCGTCACCAACAAATCCGGGAAGGTGCTCGCAACCAGAGCAAAAGCACTCCCCAAATATCAGGCCAGAGCCCGTGGCTGGAAGGGCATTTGTAGGTTTTCCTTGATGTTGTTCATCATGTCGTTACAGATTCTTTTTCTCCCTCTCTTTTTGTAAATGACCAATAATGCTAAAGTTTCAATCACTTTTCGTGTTTAAGCTATTAGAAGGTGCTCTCTTCGCTGTAGAAATGGTGTTGGTCCTGTCTATCCAGGCATTCTTTGGCATTCTTTCCCATTTCTGTAGCTAGATCAATGCCCTTTCTGCAGTGAAAAGGCCGTCATTAAATGATACCAAGTGGTTAAAAACCTTAATTTTCCATGTCATTAGACAAACAGCGCTGGTGATAGCACCACATATTTCCATTCAGAAAGGGAGTATCATTTAATTGCCAGTGTCAATTCCTGCAGCACCGTGGCTATTCCTTGAAGACCTACTTTCTAAGAGATCAGATGGGAGAAAACACCAGCTCGATCTCTTACATTTTTGGCCTTTATTTTCCTGTAGAGGTTACTGAATCACACCTAGTCAAGGAATAATATGCTAATGCTTGTCTCAAGGAATAATATACTAACGCTTGTCTCATAACTCACGCGCTACGAAGGTCCTAAAAACACATTAGCTTAATCATGAAACATCTGAGATAATTGGCGTAACTAGAATAATTTAACAGGAAAGCCAACGTTATTCAGAATGTAGTAAATACATGAATAGAACTCAGATTTTCACTGAAACTATTTTTGTCCTCACCTGGTTTGGGTGCCAAGTTTTATGCTAGCCTCAGAGCAGCAAGGTTTATCTTAATGTGCAGGGATCCATACAGGTACTTTTCTTTCCCTTCTCCTTCTCTCACATTAAATTCATTACGTGATGTTCAAAAGACTGATACACATTAGAAAACCTTTAGGCATTTCAGTGCAAAAGGGATGGTTTATTAAAAGGATAGGTTATTACTTTGAACAATGGCTTCAGTGTCTACATTTAAATGGGAAATGTTTATCCGCTACTGACCTGCCTTGGTCAGAATCTGTACAGCTATGCTTTTATTCATAAATGCTCGCCTAAGCTAGTAAAGCACATTAATTTTCAGGTTCCGTGTGGTCATTTGTGGATCTTTCGTAGACCAAAAAAATAGAGGCTGATAATTATTTTTTTTCAATAATTTTCTAAGCAAGTGTTACCATAATTCCTCTTGTGAGCCAGTGATTTTGAGAAGACATTTACTCAGTGGTAGAAAAAAAAAGTTGATATGGTTAGAGAAATAGCTAAGGCTGTCTTAGTGTACTCAATATATGGACGGGTGGAGAGAATTATTTTTCAGCAGGAAGAGAGCATCGTTTTAAATGCTGAAGAGTTTAGCTATTTCAACCCTCCTTGAAGACCTTGAAAAGGCAGAAGACACCAAGTGAGGCTGTAGCACCAAGTTCTCCTTCCTGCACTGCAGCTTTGCTGAGCCTGCAGACCTTGCCCAGGTGAGCGGTGCTGCGAGTGGAGCTCCAGGGAAGCAATGCAGGAATAAGCTCCTTCCTCTGCGTTAGACAGCTAAAGAGAAGGGGACCTCGGGTCTCACCCCACCGACCTTCCCGTGAGTGGGTGAGTGAGTAGTTCTGTGGAATGCCACGTGTGAGCGATCACTTCTTGCACAAAAGGGACTGTAGCAGAGAACTGCGTGTGCCTCAGAAAACAAAGATGCAATTAAAGCAGCATTTATAGTTTTCAGTTAGGGTTATCTTTCAATGAAGGATGAACCATCATTTTTTTCTGCTAATTATTTTCATTAGCTGTTTTAACTCTTCCTGAGAGCTCTTAATAATTGCTTCAGAGCAGAATGTGTAAAACTGAAAATTATTTATGGCACTGATTAGAACTACAGAATACTAATATGGGTAGTCAGGAATAATTTACCATAGCAGGAAAAGCATTATTTAATTGTTTAATATAGAAGTTTAATTGTGCTTGCATATAATTATCATGTAAATATCACAGTGATCACTTTAAGAGGTTATTTCTAAGTGTGCCAAAATTCTGAAGCAATCTGAAAAGAATTATTTTTTTTCTTGCCTCCCTTCACAAGTCTCTCAAGTGCACTATATGTTTTAACTTAAACCAAAATATAGCCAAAGGCAGACAGGAGTTCCAACAGTGACCAGTGTAATACTCACTGCTTTTAATTACTGTAACAATAAATCACACAGGAATGTCCTCCAGGAACTAAATGATTTTCTAAAAACATTTGAGAATATTTTTGAAATTCAATTAATTGAAGGCACCAGATAAAAGGTACACATTCTTAATGGCTATAAAATAACCCTAAGGGATGTAACTGAGCTCTAAGCTTAACTTCAAAGTGTGACAGAAATACTTACCGTATTACTTTAAAAGTATTCAGATCAATGAATCAGTTAAAATTACTTATACATTTACCAACCTTTTCATTTTCTTTCTGAATATGATAGAAAGAATTGCTCTCATTTCCCAGGATACAAAAAGCAGTTGAGACCTGTAAAAGAAATTGTAATTAAAGCCAGCCTTCAGTCAAAATTGGTATTATGAATTTTTGGTTGACACAAGATAAAGGGGCCAGTGAAACATAAAAGTGGCTTGATAAAACATACATTTAGACATTTTATACTGAAATTTAACTGGTTTGTAGAGTTATTTCAGGTTCTGGGATTAAATCTGGTCTTGTTAAAGCCAGTAAGCATTTTTTCTATTGAATTCAACAGAACCAGAATGTCACTGCAATCTGTACTGTGTACAGCTGTGTACCTGACCGGCTATCTGATTACGGGCCAAATCGGTTCTCTCTCTTTTTGTTTTTTTCCCCCCCTTTCTTTGGGCTAATCATGCTAACTTGAACATCCACATGGCTTTGCAAGGTGCTGAACATCTCAAACAGACACAGTATGCCTTCAGCTTTTGCTGGAAGCAGTCTGAGGTAACGTGCCAGCTAATGCTCAGTAGGATCCGACTCTAGGAAAAGTACTTTGGCATTTGGCCAGTAGTTTATGAGCAGCAGAGGTTGTTTTAAAATAAAACTGTTCAAAACATCACAATTTTATGATTTGCAAGGTGATTTCATAACACAGCATGACTCAACAGCAGGAAAGTGTTAAGAAATGTGTAGAAGCTGAAGTGTTGCTACCAGTCCTTTTATTTTTTTTTTTTTTTTTTTTTAGCAGAGGCACTCTGTTTTGAGCAGCTCTTCCTCCCTCTCTGTAATCTCAATCTATAGCTACACTTCTGGTTGTACCCAGGCCATGAAAGCAGA